AATATTACCAAAAATCTCTTATCATCTCATATTTATATTTATTACCGGTGAAATTTGTTTTGTTCGCGTTTGGTTGTTGATAAAGTTTCATCGGAACTCTAAATTTTGATATACATGTTACCGCGCGATGCATTTGATTGCCTGATCGGATGGAGTCCAGATCGACTGGTGATAAACCAATGTATTGTTGTGCTACGTGCAGAGAATGTTACCGCACAAGATGGTGCAATTTAGCGTTTGTTGTTTGGTTCTAAATGAAAATAAAGGACGTTAGAAATAACCAGGGTTGAAAATTATTGAAATTTAAACAATTTGTGTTACGTTCAATTGCCAAGTAAGTGAACTTTCCAAAAAAAGTACAATTAGAACTAACGACATAAAGGGAATCGAAGTGATCGAGCAGATTGATTCCTTTGGTCTAGCCTTGTGTTTAACTAAATGACTGACAGTTGATTAGGACAAATAATGAAATTTCGATCTAAAATTCAGGACAAAGTTTCAGTAACCTGATATGAAGTTATTTAGAATGTCATCACCATTAAACATTTAAATTTGGGGCTCACATGAATTCATATTTTTCAAAACATGTACTCACATTAAGAAGCTCAAAAGATTTGATATCGTCAACCGAACTGGTTTAAACAAAAATATGAAATTTTTCATTCGATCATGCAAACTTACCAGTTTCAACCCATGGATCAATCACACTTCTCGATGTGGTCGAACTTTCTCCCACCAAATTGTTTTCAGCCAACCGAGGAGGATTAGTCTCTAGATCTACAATGTGGTTCCCAATCGGATCGTGCATGACTTCCGTTTGCTGCTCATCGATTTTGTTCACAGCAACATTCGGGTGAACTTTGATATCAAACGACTCCTCGGTTCTCATTTCACCTTTTTTAAATGTGCTCGATTCGTTCATCGTTTGCTCCAATTGCACTTCCGTTTGTCCCACACCTACTCTTTCTGTTACTGATCGAAGTTCCTCATTGAAAGGTGGAACAAAACTGAAATTGTTTTGGTGTGTTGGCAAATTTCTCTCATTTGTGGTATTTATCACACTATCCACAGGCGCCGTTCCAGTAATGTTGACCCCAGGAGAGGCGAAGGTACTGAGGGTTGTCACCGGCGGTTCATCCACTGCAGAGCACAAACACATGGAACATTTGTAAGGTTATTGAGCCACGGACCATACCACTTCAAAAAATACTATTTTCGGTCGAAATCGGATTATGCTCATCAGTATGTTGTGTAATAAAACCGCGTTCTTCATTTAAATCAGGCAGTTTCTTCGGGTTTACACACTCTTTTGACCAAGGGATTATCCAGGACATTTTGCCAACGATCAGATTAATACTTTGATGGGTCTGTATTTACCTGCGTGGAAGAATTGTTCATTGATGTTCAAAGCAATCACAAACCAGATCGTTTTCAAACTATTCAAGTGGAAGCCCTGGGTAAATGCAGTTGTCATTTTTGTTGGAAAATCAAACAGAAGGAGGGCTTCAACTGCCAAAAAACATCAGCCAGACTAATAAGGTTCTGTGCTTCCAATGTAGCGACAGATTGTTCTGAATTAGATTTTCATAATCGTTACCCTCTATTATCATGTTACTATGAATGGGTTTCAGGTGGTAACCTGATGTTGACGCATTGATCGTTTGAGGTGAGTTGTCGGTATAGCAATGTGGATCGTTAAATATATTTGGTTAATTGAAAAGTATAGAGCTACCTAATAAGCCGTTAGGAGAGTAGTGCAAGTGATTTTTATTTAAAATTCAACTTTATGTCATGTTGAGTTAGAACAATGGATTTTTATTAGAACTTCACCGTAATTGCAAATACCTGAAATTGGCAAGTATCCACTTTCATTTTCTGTCATTTTCTGGTTGCCAGCCTCAATATTGTTCTCCTCGGTAGCCAAATGATTTTTCAATATTTCAACGATTTTTTGTTCCTCTTCTTTCATGAGACTTGTTCTAGAATCTCGAGTCAACTGATCGTCTGCCGTGGAAATTTCACCGCTTTTATCCACACCGATAGTATGGTTCACCTCAGAATGGTCCACCTTCTCCTCCCCAATGAACGTCTGTTTCTCTCCTCCGTTTTCCATAACCTCTTTCGTGGATTTATCACCGAGCTCTGCGGAAGAAACGATTGAGGGTAGATTGTGTAATCAACACGAGTAACAGTAACACTGGAATCATACTGAAATCATACATTCTACCGCAAAGTAAACCTTGTCCACGGCTCAATGTCTTCACCAAATCCGAATCAAGCGGGACTGGATGAGTGTATTTACACATTCCCGCTTCATTCCATCTGATTTTGGTTTAAGCTGAAGTTCAAGGATTTGTCAGTAGGAGGAATGCAGAATGGCTTACTATGACGGTTTCAGTGTGTGAATCAACCACTTTTGTGAGCGTGCGTATGTGTTCGTGTGCGCAAAAGTGCATTTGGCCAACGATTCCACAGATAGATTTTATCTTCTCTTAGTTGACTGAAAACTGCATACGTTGCGGTAAATTTCACGCAAGATTTATTCCGTGTTTTGATAGAAAATCAGTGAATGACTGTGGCGGGCAGGCCTGATAAAACGGAATAAACAACCACAACCACAACCACAACAGCAGCAGCAGCAGCAGCAGCAGCAGCAGCAGCAGCAGCAGCAGCAGCAACAACAACAACAACAAATGGAAACATTTATTTCTCCGGATAAGCTTGAGGAGAGAGGACGAACAAATCTAGGTTGCATGATTTATGCCCAGGAAGATTTCTCTGCATCTCACACTCTGCCCCGTCGTACTTGTGTGGTACCTGGCATACTGTTAGACGATATAAAGTGTAGCTTTCTGTCGTATTGTATCAGTTGAAATACAACGAAATCCGCCTTGGCATAAATCGTGCAACCTAGCTTTGTTGTTGTACTCTCGCTTAAAATTAACCAGTGGCAGTTATCAGCATGCAGCTTTTTCGTTCTTTCGGATTAATTATGGGTTCCATTGCGTCGATTTCGAGCGACCAACCATCGTCTTTGGTGTTCAAACACTTCTCCTTAAGTTAATTAGCCACTCGTCAACACGTTGAGCATGCTGCATCAGTAATGGTTTAATGCATGCAAATTCCAAGTCATGATTAATTCAGAATAAGGAGTTTCTCAACGAGTAAGACACACACGGGGAGAGGAAAACATGGCAATTGTCACTCATGCAAGTTTATATTGAATGAGCTATACTTTTTTCAAAACTTCGAAATGTTGTTCAGAAACAACTTCAAATATTTAAGAAAAACCGTAGGAGTCGGATCTCCGACAAAGATTATGGTGGAATATCCAAAATTATTAGCTTCAGTCCCTGAGAAGATGAACAATAGTTTGTCACAGACGACTGAATCAAAAGGTGATTGAATATTTTTTAGCAGTCCCATTACCTTCGAGAGATACGTCCACGTTCTCCTTCGTGGAATCCAGGACTGCATGATCCACAATGTCACTTTTAATCAGAGTCGGGCTCGTATTGACATCTGCGGAATTTGTGAGTAGCGGTGAAATGTCGCTGTCCTCCTCTGATGTGACAATTGTCCTCTTGGTTTCTTGGTTCGGCTCCTCCAATAACCCGGAATTCGTTTCGTGCTCGTCAAAAACATTAGTCACCAAAACAGTGTTCGCAACATTGGGCACACTATTTCCAAAATCCGTTGCATTATCTGCCATGTCCCCCGGCAAGATTGTTTTTAGCTGCGAATTTGGTGCCCCGGTCTTATCACTACGCACTAGATCATCCGTCTTGATGTTCTCCTGTTCCCATTGAGCCGCAGTTGGAGAAGAATTTGCTTCCGTTGAAACAGCCCCCTGGACCACAGAGTTTGATGGGGTGACATGAACCGTCACGGATTGTGCTTCTTTGTCTTCGGTGTTCCGTGTTTCATCTTTATTGATTGATGGTCATGCAATGTGCATTAGGAATTTTGTGAGACTATATCAAAAATCTGAATTTTTTAAAAATAATTTGAGAAATATCAGATGTAATCATGCATAGTAAAAGCAAATTGGAGGGTTCACTCACCTTAAATCTATGAATTTTGGTGTTATAAAAAATGAAGAAACGAGGAACCCATTTTGCATTTGATGGACTACATCACGTTTTTCCGGATCTGTGCTGAACTGCTACAGCTGTATTGTTAGACCACCTTTTTAGGTTTGGGCGGCTTTTTTCATAAGTGTTGAATCCGTTTCGCTCTCTAAACAGACTTTTCCTAATCACACTCCAAACTGTATGTACCTTTTCACAGTCATCCCTATCTATCTCTTAGTTTGTACCATGTCTTCCCTTCTTCTTACTGGATGTGCTACGTTTGAGTTGACCCAGCCGTGTGTCAATCGATCCGACTGTGTTCCTACTCCAGTGATCGGTATCACCTTCGCCACCTAGTTGCTCGCCTCCATCACTCCACGCTCTCTTTACCCGTGACCCGTATGGAATCCACCGGTTCATCGATCGACACACGCGCACAGCTCCATTGTTCTAGTCCTTCACGTGATTAGAATTTTGATCCCGTACATTTGATTGGCTGGCTATCAGCCATTGTGCACGTGCGCGTGCGTTGACCACTTAGAGTGAACTGTACAAGCCCGCAGCTGTTGGGTTGAACTCTTCGACAGTATTTCAAGGCTACTTTCAATACAGCAACCCATTCGATTGTTCAGAGACACTGGACACTCTTGATGGTCTTGGTTGTGACTTGCACTCCCTGGGGGATCAAGGGTACGGGTTTGAAGTCCCGACCAGAATGTTCGCGGTTTGAGTTCTGTCAGAGACACCAAACTACTCACTACCGACGAGTCCAAAGCAGGACGAAACAGCTGCCCAATGCACTTTTCCAGTTATCACAAACATTTCCATCGCATTTGGCCAGAAGAACGCTGTTTTAATTTGACGCATTATCATTTGATTTGCCTTGACAGTGCAAAAGCGTACTCTCTGTTTTGCCCAACGATTCAAGTACCGCATTTCAAGACAATCTCATCTTCTGATGAAGTATATTTGACATCCTTAGAAATACAGTCAGTCCAAGAAGAATAACTTATTCATGTAAAGCTCTCATGCAATCAATAGAGATACAAATCAGAGTTAGTTAACTTTCATTGTATTAATATCTGTTCTTAGCAACATTTATAGAATTTTCAACTAATTAAGTTATTAAGGGAATACGGCGAAACTATCTGGTTTATTGTTCTCTGCTTTGACGGTCTGATTTGAACACTACTTCCGGGTGGATTTGCTTTGTTTCATTCGCAATTTCTAATGGTTAACTTACGTTGAGAAGAGACACACTGATTGTCCATTACGTATAGTAACTATAGGCTAACACAATCATTGTATGCCAAAGATTCAATCCTGAACGAGGATTTTCCGGATATTTTTAGATGAAATGTCAATCGAAAATTGATTTTGAAAATCAGAAACTAATAAATAGCTTGAACTGCATTACTCACCGATCAACGGTAGTTGGGCACCTGCGTCATTCTTACTTTCTGTTGGATTTGAGTTGACAGTAGCGTGACTTTTCGATGTGTTGCTAATTTTGTTCGTTTTTTCTATTGTGATGTTCTCGTTGGAATCCTTGTGAAGTTCATCTCCAATGAAGGGATGATTGGGATTTGAGTCACTCCGTCTGTGGATTTTAGGTTGCATTGAATTCTTCTCGGTTTCTTCAACGCCATTGATGGGATCTAAAAGGCGTCACGAAATTGTGCCAAGAGCCTCATGAATCGAACTATGTTTTCCCGATTAATAATAGATCAAATTACCAGAATGGCACAGGCATTTAAATTGTGGAGAATTAACGATCTCCAAAGGAGTGAAACCCACACCGAACATCATCAACAGTGCCTGTTGCCTCTGAAAAGCCGAATGAGCTAATCGAAATATTGATCATCTAAATTCATTCATTCATTCATTCATTCATTTAGTCAGTCAGTCAGTCAGTCAGTCAGTCAGTCAGTCAGTCAGTCAGTCAGTCAGTCAGTCTAATTTGTCTAATTTGTGTCGGTTTTCTAAGAGTAGAATCAAGTCGATCATTGCATCCGATTTGGGAAATACACAAATTATGCTGCTATCGGTGCCCGAAATTAGGCAAAGATGTGAAAGTACCTCCATGATTAAATACACACATACGTGTGTATGTGTGTATGTGCGTGTGAAGTAGTGAATCCGCGTCCGTAAAGTTGTTCTTTTTTTATGACCATTCATGGGAAGCGAGTGAATCAGATACAAGATAATAACTTAAAGAATATGTTCCCAAAGCCCCGGAGCAATAGTGGATAGATNGTCAGTCAGTCAGTCAGTCAGTCAGTCAGTCAGTCAGTCAGTCAGTCAGTCAGTCAGTCAGTCAGTCAGCTGCAGTCAGCTGCAGTCAGTCAAATAAAGTGCACCGATGAAGTGAAAGCTTTCAAAGTACATCTACTTTGCTTATGCGTAAACGAAAGAGGGACATCGGGGACATTAATACTAAACCGCAAGTGGCTGAGGATAATGCGGTCTACTAGTTTACGTTCAGAGGAAGTGATAGCAATCGGACGAGAGCCCTTGGATAAAATACTAGATGAAGATGATTTTGGAATAAGGACAACAGTGAAGGGTCCCAAGCAATCAGAAATTAAACGCGTACATATGCATTTATTAAGAAGGAACTCGAAGATCTATCTGATTGGACCAGAGTCACATTTGAGTATAAACAAAGATAAGCCATCTGCACTATTGATTCTGGTAATTTTGAGAAAATCATGGGAGGAAGGGTCCATGGTAGGGATGTGCATATGGAAAGGCTTTTCAGGGACAAATACGTGCAGCACTAAGGCTATTCACGTCCACCATTTCATTTGTTGACCATTTCCTTTGAACGCACAGCACTCATATCCCTTGCAATAACTGTCTGCCTTTCCCAGCTCCCCCGAATTAGCTTTGTGAAGGAGGCATTCAGTCAGTTGAACTCCATTCTATTTTCCCAGGTGAGGTGTTCGACAGAGGTTGCTTATTGCAGCTTGTTCTTTTAGTTTCTAAGAGCTCAACCTGTGTGAACAGAAAACGTTTTATAAGACAGCAAAATATAAATCACATTGTCCGTTTCAGTAAACTTTTCAAAAAGACGAGATTGTTGAGTGAGCAACCTCGGAGACACGACGGAAATAAAATTATTTAGGACTGTATTTGTTAAAAACATTCCCAATTTCGATGTTCACTTGTATTGTCTAAATAAAAAGCAGTATCAAAACCGAGAGCAGAATTTTGGTCAAAAAGATAATTCGATCAATCCACCGAAGAATGAACAAAACAATTCAATAATATCAGGAACAATTAGAGCAGTTTTAATATGGACCTCATTATCTGAAATGAGGTTTTTGACTCACCAATCTCTGGCAACCCTTCTGTCGAATTAGAAGCTCCCGCACTGGTTTCAGGCGCCTCTTCATTTGCCGTCACTGCGATGTCCGTGTTCACAAGTGCCCGATTCTTCACTAGTTCAATTATTGTGTTCTCTTCGTCAAACGTGATATTCACACTGGGATCAATTGATTCGCTCACTGTCTTCAAACCTTGATCAATTCCATCATCCGAATTTTCCACAATCGTTTCGGAGTTTCCCTCTGTTCGACTATTGGTTTCCGGTGCATTATGCAACACTGTCTCCGAATTTTGCAAGGTGAGTTGTGCGGCCATGGCGGTAGGTTTGTCGGTTCTGTGAGCTTCGGCTATCCCATCTGAAAGTGGCAGTTATTCAGTGAACATGTGAAGGAGCAGGTGCGGAGAACATTAATTTATGGTATCAGTCGGTAAAGTATTTAAACATTCACGAGATCCTGTGCTATTTGGTGTGTTCTTGATATCATCACATCTTGAACAATACTTGATTTAACTCCTGTTTTCGCGTCCATTTCCGAAAGGCCAATCGGTTTGAGAAATAAGACATATGCTAAAGAGCTAGAGTATTCATCGATGCATGTTTCCAATTTCAAATGATGTCCTACTGATGAATCCTCCCAATGAAAGTGATTCTTCCTCTCAAGTAGACGACTTTTGCTAAAATAGCAATTCAAAACCGGAATCCCCATGTGAAAATAAGTGCCCTTCTCTCTCACCTGATTCCGAAAATTCTCCGACTGCTTTCAAAGTTGTTACTGTTACACTGTTCTCCCTGTCTTTATCAGTATCCATCGTATGCACACTGTCATTCAAACGGCTCCTCAATACGTCCAAGATTTTCTGTTTTTCTTCTGCACTGATATTGCGATTGGAATCTGAGATGGAATCGTCCGCCGAAATGGAAGATATGACCTGCTCATTCGCACCGCTCAGAGGAGCAGGTTCTGCATCTTCTCCCCCGCCAGTTTCGACCGGATCTGATTCGTCAACTCGTTTCAGTACTTCGTCCTTTGCGCTTTCTGTAATGTAACGATGCGATAAAGCGAGACTCTTCAGGTAATACATCAGCATCATCATCATCATCATTGTACAGCGTAATACAGTGAAGCGAAATTCACTGATCGCTGCCAAACTCATAATACAGACAAGATAAGTGAGAATGTGTAAGGGGGACAGGGATTGGACCTATTCTTAGGGACGGGAAAAGAAAGCGAACCTCCATGGTCAACATGCAGAGTACACAGCCCAACTGTGCATACATACTAGTTCAAGCATTCTGGACGGATAAGAAGTGACAGCATGATCGCCATTGCTGTCGGTTCGCAGACATGACCTTCATTGTCTCAAACCATGCGGTTTCGGAGTCTTTTGGACCCCAACCCGGAAGACGAGAGACACCTACTCTACCTAATCGCTCTGTGCATTTTTTCATGCCTCGTCTTCACGTCATCTTCTGGCCTCCGACCTGCCTTCCAACCTGGAACAGCCACTGCGATTAAGGCGCGCTGCTGTAGGCGACCGTCGGGCATACGCAAAACGTGTCCTAACCACCGGAGCCTACTGAGCTGGATTCGATGAGATAGCGAGTTCTTGTTTGATGTATTCCCAAACACCCGACGACTTACGTCTAAGTTACTAACCCGCTCACTCCATCCCACCTGGGCCAAAACACGTAAGCATAGATTACCGAACACTGCTAAAAGACGCATGTCTTCTACCCGCAAATTCAAGGTTTCACAACTGTAAAGCAGAGGTGATTGTACAGTGGTGCAGTATACGCGACTTTTCAACTTTAGTGACACGTCACGTCGCCGCCACAGGTGTTATAGTCCTGCGTACGCTGCTCGAGCCTTGTAAATGCGGGCGGTTATCTCCTTTGTTGCGCTACCGTCGTTGGTCACACAGCTACGTAAGTACGAGAAGCAGTCAACTTCAGCTAATTCCTGACCGTCTAGTTTCAAAACAGAACTCGGTGACACCCAGTCTTGTAGCATCACTTTGCACTTTGAAGGTGCAAAGCACATGTCGAACGGAGCGATAGAAATTGATAATCGGTCAAGTGCTCTTTGTGCACCCTCCATGCTTTCGAACAAGCAAACGATGTCGTCAGCGTACTCCAAATCGCACAGCTTTTCTCCAGCTGCCCATTCAATACCTACATTTTGGAGACCACTCAGTGTGTTCTCCAGTATTTCGTCTATGGCGAAATTGAACAGGAATGGCAAAAGAAGGCACACTTGACGAACACCGCTGCTAGTTACGAACGACTTACTCAGCTCGCCATTGACCCTCACGCTAACAGAAGTATGAGTAGAGTGAACTCAATATGTTCACATACTTCTGCGGCATTCCTTTACGAAGAAGCGAATTCACAAGAGACTCACGGTCAATTGAGTCGAAGGCTTCTTTTAGGTCAAGGAATACGACAACCGTTGGTCGACGGTGAGTAGGGCGTAGCTCGAGTACTTGACGCAGGGTGAAGATTTGATCGATACAACCGCGACCCGGTCGAAATCCTGCTTGTTGTTCGCGGATGTTTATCCCCCTAAGCGGTGTCAGACGTCGAAGTATAATGGAGGCTAGTAACTTGGTGACGATTGGGATCAAACTTATTCCACGGTGGTTTGAACAGTCACTACGAGATCCCTTCTTGAAAGCTTGAACGATCAGTGATTCGCTCCAGGATGACGGAATGCGCTCGTGTAACCAGATGTTACGCATTAAATCAGTAATGGAGTCTACAAGGTCATCGCTCCCCAACTTGGAAAGAGTGGGAGGAAGCCCGTCCGGCCCCGCTGCTTTTCCTTTCTTCCGGGCTTGAATGCAAGAACGAACTTCTCCTGCATTAGGAGCTTCAGATTACACTGCCCATAGAGCCTCAGTTACATCAAAGGAGATAGCTGGTTATCGCCTGGTCAGCTGAACTGTTCGTTGAAGTACTCCGCCCACCGGTCAAGCCGTTGTTCTCTATTGTGAATAGCTTGCCCACTTTTGTCGCAGATTGTTTCGCTAACTGTGGTTCGCCGACCTCCCGTATTGTGTATCAGTTGGACCAGTCTCTGACTATTCCCTGATGCAGCCGCTACTTCCATTTCACTGGCTATCGTTGCCACCAGTTCTCACAGTCTGTCTTGAGGCTCCTCGTGATTTGATGTTGTAGACGCCACCTAACCCTGCCTTGATCCCGGGTGTTTGGGATATACCGCTTTATCTCCATCAATGCCACTGACTCATCAGATATCCAAAGCCTCGGACGGGTTACTGCTTCAGATCCACAAGCAACATTCGCTGCGGAGTGCATTGCTAGGCTAATCTGATCCCATTGTCCATTGACACTACCGCCACGCAATGCGTTTAGCTCATACCCCATTTCTGATTCAAAATGGGTACGAACGGCTGGGTCAGATAATTGATGATCTGCCAATCGAGTTTGGTGGGAGTTTCTGCTACCAGTGAGTTGGAGAGNTAACGCATGATCAGATTCAACGCAGGTGGTTCAATAGGACCTGCAGTTTTGTACTGAGCCACGCCAACGGTAGCTTACTGCTATGTGGTCGATCTGATCTGAGTTATCGTGCCAGTTGAATTCGAGCGCCACGTTGCTGTCCGTTGAGAGCTGTGTCGGAAGCTGGTGCTGGATAGGAACAGATGATGATCTGCGCAGAAATGAAAAAGTCGATCACCATTATCTGTTCGCTGGCAGAGCAGAGCATAACGACCGCCTAGGCAATCTTCCGATAGGCTCAGTATTCCAACTTGAGCGTTAAAATCACCTGAGAGAACAACTATATCGGAGCTTCGACTCAATCGAATGAGTTCAGTGAGTTTATCATAAAAGTCGTCCTTTTGTGCGTCAGAACTGCAGTTAGTCGGAGCATACGCTGAAATGATGAACAAGCAAATTTTGGTGTTGCTTTCCTTTTGGACGCTGATAGACCCTTGGAGCCACATCGCACATAACCGGCTGTTGACGGGGATCCAATCGAGTAGTGCGGCTTCGGCTGTATCATTTAGTACAATGCCCACACCACGCTGGCCTACTGAACGGGTTTCGTCATCACCTGATGTGCGGAGGAAGAACCTCGAAGACAACCTCGGTGCACTTAAGTGGCATACAGTACTAGGATCCTGAATTCCAGTCTCTGACACGCAGTAGACATCCATTCCCAACGAGTTCATTGTACGCGCCAGACATGCTACCTATCTACCTGCACCAGAGTCCGCACGTTGAAGGCCCCCAGATTCAGTGGCTGACGAGGCGTCAAAATATGGAATCTGTTTTGTGGTAAACTACTTACCGAGCTACTTGGTAACGAATTTTGGCGAGTGACGAACAAGTTGTCTGAGGGAATGTTGCGGGTTGGATGTAAGGATGAAGGGAAAGGGTTGGGTACGGAAGATAAAGAGTTAAGCAAAGGTTGGGATATTTGAGCAGTAGCCCACTTATCATTACCCACCCCGCTCGATGCAATGGACAGCGCGGTCCTGATTATCCTGCGCGACGACTGATGCAGTATGGAATTATTTTTTGGTTGTGTATGCATTCGAGTTCGATAGACGGGTACTGCTAGGGTGTCCAGCCACTAAGCAGGAGAACAATTAGGGTTCTCGTCCAAAGCCTTTAGTTCTCTCAAGAACCTGACCGCAAGGCAGCGAGTAAAGCGAAGTAGAGGCACATTTACTTTGATAACTTACTCCTCTGCCATTTTACCGACTGAGACGCTAACTCGCGTCGAACCCCCAACCTGGAGAACCAGGAGACTGGACTTCGTCTGACCTCTATCCATTGACCTTCCAGGTATGATTAGATCTGCGGCTTGACATCCCGTATAGCACGTTGGGTTAGAGAGATGCACAAGGTATCACACCACGTCAAGGTGCAGTCTCGTCGTGTAATACGCCAATCAATAATCGTTGTACGTACATTGGGTCGGTCATAATAACTTCCTATTGGATTTGTAAGTGAGTAGACGTTGCATTCATTGTATCATGTTAAGATTAGATAGATAACGCATCGATTCATCTTTTTGCAAATTTCAAGTTGCAAGTGCAAGCACAATCTGTTGCTTTTTCAATATTTCTCGGAACTGACATTGTCCGCCGAAATAAGTATAATCGTTTGTTAATCTCCGGCCAGTTCTAGTTTGCCGTCAGCTACGACCTGCATATGATCACAAAAATATGATATAGTGTATATCTACCGATATCGTTTGGCGTACTTGTTCGAATCATATCGCGATCGATTCCATGCTGTACCGCTTATCCGTGGTTTATTTCAAGAAACGAGAAGTAAATTTACCCCCCAGCCAAGAATTGGTGTAAGATATTTTGTCGAGGTACAATTAAGAGTGTGTACTTCCAACGCTCTTCAGGAGTAAGTGACAAATGGTATGTGGGTGCGGATCGTTCGAATATTCAACATAACCGTGGGGAAGGAGTAGATTTTTCATTATTTTCTCTTCACATCCCCCCCCCCGNTTCAGGGACCCGTAATAAGAGTGATAAACTGAACTTTGCTTTATATCCTGTACGGTGAAAAGGAATAGTCTTGTTTTCTGTTCTGGGATCCCAAGCTAAACCTAACTCAGATACACGAACGGTATTCATCTTCATATATAAATTCTTCTTATCTCTACTTTTTGCACCCTATAATCACATTTGGATTAGCTACTTCCTGAACTGCCTCCGAAAGTATGGGGTGCGTGTCTTTGGTTGTGGACGGTCACCGCTAAACAGCATCTCCCGAAAGATTCCTATACGATCGGGCGTCTTGAACATTCTATATTAACGAATATCTACTCACTGTTTTTCCGTGGAAGAGTTGTTTTCTAACCAAATCGAGAGGACGAAATGCCAACATTCGGAGCTATCGGTGTGTCGATGAACCACTGGCAGTTTACCTAACGGAGTTTAATGACGACCCCGATTCCGAACCAACCAAGAAGAGGCGCACGACCCGCAACACTCACACCTTGGTTGTGGCAGTGGTTACCGTCTCAGTTGGGCTTCGAGTTGTATGCGGGACTTTGGATGTGTGACCCCGTCCAAAGGGCGTATGATCCAATGAACTGGACACCGGCCCCCAATGGACTGTGGTTTTCATACATCTCCACACCTTCTTGCGTCTCAATCGTTGGCTGGTCAAAGGATCCGATTGTAAATCCCCCAACAAAGTTCACCTGCCATATCCTGTACAACNAACAGACGTAAAAGGGATAACTTTATCTTGAACATTGCTTGTACATTGCTTGTACAATTCTGTAATTGATTAGGTTGAGAGAGCTGCAAAGTGCTCCCAAGCTTTTCCAATCACGGCTAGTTAGCTGTCTGCCAGATGGAATTCATTTCATATATACTTATCTACTATATACTATTTATACTGTATTATATACACTGCATATTCTATTTATACTATTAATATGCATCTCGTTGAAACCAATTCTTCAGGACTCAGCATGATCCATTTACTAAAACGATTCTGGTGATTCTGTTTTAATCTCGAGCTATCCCTTCTCACTCCGCACATTAACACATGCGAAACTACCGATCTTCTTGAAGTGAAATATGTATTATCTCTAGGTGAATTCCATTGGAAAAGACTCCCTTTAACGTAAAACTGCATGGGCCAATAGACTTTGCAAGTCAATTCATCTGAGATGTGTGCGGCTTGTCGAACGGGATTCATTAGGAGGTAAATGCTTTGATCTCAACAGTGTGCTCTCTTTGATTGATAACCCGTTGTTGGGTTAAGCCATTTTTTGTCGAAAAATTGTGCCATTACTTTATTCATACCCAGTTTGACTACTTTGTCTACGTGTGTATTGTTTACCGTAATCGCTCTTTGTCTTGCTGGTTCGTTATCAGCTCTGCACCACAGCTGAGCGGACCCATGGATCCCACGGGTCGGCACAACGGTTCTCCCGCATCCAAGACCCTATGATTTAGATGAGCTCTCCCCCCTTACTCATTATAGATGATGTGGACTACGGGATTCATGTCGTTGATTTTGTATCGGCTATTCCACAGACCCAAAGCGTAAGCGCCTGCACTTTAATCGTGCTGGTCTATGCCTACCTGCGGACACGTAGCTGCGTTCGACACTATGCCCTTTCACGTCAGCTGACGTTCTGGCTCATCCGAGTTTTGCTGGACCTCTTTACCAACACCTGTGTTCTCCAATTCCTTCTGGAACAGTTTATGTACTTTTTTGATAGCGGACGGTCACAGGCGATTTTGAATGTCATTATTCTTGTCGTTTTAGGGTCTGGGGAAAACCGGACATTTTCACGCACTTTACTATTCACTTACCTCTTGATGGTGTCTCCACTTTATCTTCCGTTGAATCCGTCTGATCAATAACGTGGATTCCGACTTGCGTTACGCTCATACCGGTGTTTGAGTGATTTTTCATCAGTTGAGTAGTTCTACTCGCATGCTCCACCGTGGTATTCATTTTTGTGGAGCTACGGATTGAATCCTCAAGCGCTTCAGAGTTCTCATCACTTTCATCAGCAGTGATTGGACGGCTCACTTTTGCATTTCCCATTTCGATGGTCCCGTCATTCTCTGACTTGTCTCCCTCGTCCACATGGAATGCAGCAGCCGGCAACGTATGGGTGATTCCGCTGGTGTCACCGTTGAACGAATCATCAGTTTTCTTTTTTACATTCTCAGATTGAATTGTGATTGTACTGGGATTGGATTCGCTGATAAAAGCGTTATCACCGAAAGCGCTTGGAGTATTATCTTGAACTGTATGAGAGTCTGAATCAGTATTTTGATTGTGCCCACCGATGGTCGCTGGGTTTGAGTTAAGGATAAACAAATCTTTAACGCAACATATCAGTAAATTTCGGTATCGAAGAAATGTAAAATAAAGAGGAAATATGACCAAGGTTTTGTGAAGGAGACAAAAATAAGTGCGCTTCTCGCAGTTGTTCGTGAGGTTTAGATATAGGGATATGAAAAAGTATAAACAACAGCTGCGTCTTATCAGATTTATCACGGAGTAATTTTATTCTATGAATACGTCTTTTAAAAGGACAAGGTGTGTGTCAAATTATACCACTTTGCCTCCGATTGATTATTCCATACGAATTTCGAACGGCTTTCACTACGGATTACCTGAGTTTTGCATGTAATTTGCCACGAATAATTCGTGTATCTTGTGATCAGATGTAACGGGATCCTTAAGTTAGTGAGTCAGTTTGTCAGTGGATAAGTCAGTGAAGTTGTTTGCGGCATTCAAATAATCATTCAGTGATTTGTTTCTCGAAATAAAAGTGCAAGTAGACTGATTCAAACCGTATACATAGATCAGCTCATCTAAAGTGAATTTTAGGACTCACCAGATTCTGGCAACTCTTGTTTCAAATCAGGGCCTGCCGCACTGGTTTCAGTCACCTCTTCGTTTATCTTCACGCCGATGTCCGTGTTCATAGTGGTCCGTTTCTTCAGTAGTTCAATAGTTTCATCCTCTTCGTCCACCGTGATATTCACTTTGGGATCAATCGATTCGCTCGATGTCTTCAAATTCCGACTGATTCCGTCATCCTGAATTTCTCCGATCGGTTCGGAATTTCTCTCTGTTTGAATATCAGTTTCCAATGGCTTATCATCGATTGTTTCCAAATTTTGCGAGGTTTGTTGTCCGTTCAGGGTAGTGGATTTGTCAGTTGTGTGAACTTCGGCTGTTTCATCTGAAAGTGGTAGCAATTCAACGAATACACAAATGGTCGGACGTGGCGAGCATGCCTTCATTCCACCAGTCAGTAAAGCATTCAAGCATTTAGGTGGTCATGTATTATTCTGTACTTTTTCCGATATCATTCTATCAAGATTATACTTTATATAGATATTTTGTGGACTCGAACGCCAATATATCGATGTAATAAATTTCAGACAAATGGTGAATGAAAACAAAATACTGTTTGCGGCAATCGATTCAACAACGCAAATATATGAATGACCTCAAAGAAAAAATCAGGACAAATAAGCTATGCTTCTACACAACTACGTGTAGACCCCTACTCCATCCCGGGCTCAAAGCACACCCAAATCTGGAGAACCCTTATGATGCAC